CACTGTGTGATCCAGTCGTGCCTACAATTTAATTTTACCAAGATACCAAGACTGTCCGGGTTGTCAATTGTATGAGTATTCCGTGTTACTAGGATGCTTGTTCACTTCAAATGCAGCTATACCACCCTTCAATCCCAGAATTATCCATGCAGGGGCATCGTTCCTTACATTGTTCGCTACTACTTTCTCTGATCCTGCACATCCATCGCCGAGCGCATCATCATCCCGGACTTTTTTTTGCCCTGTTATGGCCTCATTCGTTTGAGGTTATTATTGTCTGCCAGCCGGATTAAAGAACATGGTCCTTTTGGTGTGGCATAAAATCTTTTCTTATTTTTGCCATCAGTTTGTGATCAGATCCAAAAACTCGGGAACTGCTGTTTTTCTACTTTCTAGCGCTAAATTTACTTTCCCAGTTCTGAATTTTTGTTTTTCATGCATTTCAACAATTCCAACCGAGTTAGCCTTCAATCCTGTTTTATTTTTGCTTTTTTTTTTGAATTTTTGCCTCTTTGGCTTAATTTTGCTTTTATTTAGAAAAAATTTTGCTCTAATTTACTTTTTTTGCAGTTTTTCCTCCCACATGAACACTTTTGGCTCTTCTTGGATTGAGGAGGAAGATAGCTGCCGCTTTGTATTTACATTTTTCCTTTACTGAACTATAACGAGTTGAATAAAAGTGAGAGAAAAAAAATTTTTCCAGTTGAATCCGGGTAGTAAAATACCATCTCTTGCTGTTGATAGCATATTGCTGGAAGATAATTCTAAGCCGTTGCTGTGTACACCAGCCAAAACAAACAAATGCCTTCATCATTCAATGCGAAAAAATCCACAAAGGTATGAGCCTGTGTTCTTGAAGGAATTTGTAAAATATAATTTATATGTCAGAGTCTATCTCCTTTCCTCCCTTTTGTTCGATTTCTCCATAGAGGCCGGAAGCACTTGAGAAGTAGTCCGAAAGGTAGCAAATGCCAGTAGCAACCACTCACAGGCAAAGTTTTCGATCGTTTTCTCTTTCGAAGTTATTTAAGCATTCTTATAGCATGTTTTATTTCCAAAGTTTGCCAGTAATTGTATTTAAAAATAAGAATTAATTCACATGTATCGGCAACAGTGGCTTGTCGCGGTTATTTTTGAGGCCTTTTTGTAAATACGGAACATTCTCCTAAAATTTCGGTTTCCTTGCTTTTCTTGCTTACGTTTCGAAACCCCCAGATAAAGCGTACCTCGAGCACATGTACATTCAGTTAGTCACGGCGCGATACCCCCATCTGGTAACAGGTTGACTCCTCGAACCTGGATTGATGAGGAGCAGCTCTCCTGGTACGATAATTTGGCTTGCTAAAATCAGCTCTTAATTCAAAATCTGCTTCTCCAAATGTGCAGCTTTCAATTTTTTCAGTTATTTTGGCCATTGCTGTAATGCCCTGTTTGTCAGTTCTCGTGACCTCCTGATGTCCATTCCCTCAACATGTTTGGTTTTACATTTCAGTGGTTTTTCTGAGAAAAGCATTCGGCATATATTTAGCCATTTCGAGATGTAGGTTGTGTTTTTGTTGAGCATCACCACCTCGCATGAATGATTTTACGCCTAAACCACGATGAAATTCTTACTGACCAGGAGAATGAGTGCCCTCAAGGATCCAAATGACATTTTTCATTCGTGGCAATAAATCTGAGCATTTTGCATATCTGAACCGATAAGAAAATCTTGCTTTTGCAGATCTGATTGATTTTTAAAATTTCTGTTCTGGGTCTGTTGAATTAAGATCCTAGAGGACTTCCTCACGGATTAAAATCTACACATTGTTTTAATTTGCTACGTTAAAAAAGAAATCAATCATCATTAAAGAACAATAGGCCGGCCGTACGTCACGAATTGAAACATCACCTAGATCACTGTAAAATTGTGAAAATCCGGACAAATTGGACTGCCATCCGTCAGGCAGCAAAATGATGCAAACAGATGCTAAGAAACTTCTCGTGCCAGTTTGATGAATTAATAAAAACCATGCATTTGACATCCTTCCTGCATTTTGTTTACTGCTTCAAAATATCGTTGAAATTTTTAAGTACTGTTTTTTTTCGTTAAATCTTACGAGTCGGTTAGTGATAAGTTCGGAAATAAAGTTCGAAAATATGAGAGAGCAAGCAGACCCGGCGATTTTTGATGAAATTTTGAGCTGCAAGAGCCGGCAGACTGGTTTAGTGATTCGTAGCATAATCCTGAAAAACTTCTACAGCAGTTCGGAAAAACTAACTCATTTGCGAATTAATAATTTGTTTTGCTAACAAGCTGATACTGATTTCTCTGGACTGCCAACGAAGCAAACCATGGTGATCTGAGAAGCTTTTGCCAACAAGATTTGAGCCATAGAATTTTCCCTTCTCGTGCATGAACCGATCTATCTGTGTTTTTTTTTTCTGCAGAGAAAGAAGCATACCAACAGAAGATGCAGTAGCTGAGTTGGGACATTTTATGGGATGGCGCCCGAAGCATTATCAATTAAATATTACTATTACGCGGGATGCACAAACATCGTATTTCGGTAGTGTCGAGATCTATGTATGTTCTGCTTGTTGTTATTCTACATTTTTTTAAACAAAATTAAGAATTTTGGCGCAAAGAAATTTAGGCAAGCCGAAACTAACTTGAAATCTGGGCAAAATCAAAAATTGGAAGCGCAGTTTTTCCCAAAGCAAAAAAAAACAAATAAGCTTTTTTTCAATATTTCCGACGAAGTTTTTTCAAAGATTTCTGTTTTCAATTCTTTCTTTTTTTTTTTGGAAGCTTTTTTTGTTCAGGTTGAAGCTACTGAAACATCCTCATCGCTATCTTTGCATGTTGGTCGTCCAATTTCCGAAATTATACTGCCACAGATATCCATCTATAATTGTTATACAGGTATGTTACACTGAAGCTAATGAGCGAAGCGCTTTTCTCTTTCTTTCGAATGGGATACACCGGAATTTGCGATGAAGTCGAAACTGACATAATAAGCGATCGACACATCTTTGATCATTTTTTTTTTCATACAGTGAACCGTATAACTTAGAAATTCTTTGGAGAAGAGTTAAAAACAGCGAGGGAAAGAGAAGGCACAAAAAGGAGAAGAGTGGATAATGAGTTAAACAGCTTATTTGAAAAAGAGAAAGACTTTGGAAATCTACAGAAGAAAATCTCAACTGAATATGGGAACTTGTGGAAGAAATTTGAAGAAAATCTGATTATTAATTACTTGTTACTTTAATAAAAATTAGATATGAATTACGCACTGCGGAGGATGAGAACAAATTCTGACAATTCTTCGTCTTGCGAGCTTGAGCACTGAATAATAAAAACCCGCTAACTCAACGCTAGCGAGTGGTTTTTACAAAAATTTAGATCAAGAGTTAATTCATTTTGATCCTG